TAAAGTGATAAAATCTAACTGAAGCAGGATATCCATTTATATATGTCCCACAATCTAAGAAAAGCAAATATTTACTTTTTTGATTTACGCTCTGGCCTTTAACCTCAAGATGGTTAACAAAATTTTAAAAATTAATAGTATCAAACTAATTTAATTTAAAATAATTTAACGATTATGGCAAAACATTTGGTGTATTGATTTTGTAAAACAAATAACTGGGGGCCTAGTGCCATACTTAAGAGGATGCTCCATATTTGGAGAGCAACACAGAAAAATGCACATTTCTAGTAAGACAGTCATCTGCCAGTAAGGGCAAATTCAGAAGGGTCTTTCCAAGATAGAGAGAAACAGCACTATAACTTGACTACTAGTTAGATTCTGCTATGTAATTAGTATTCTTCTTAGAAAAAAGAGAGAAAGTTCCTGAGATAATTACAATAAAGTGCAATATATTAATAATCCATACCACTGGTAGGGAGGGAATGGAATATACATTTGAAGGAAGCTTTTTCAGGCAGTTGAACAAGTAATACTATTATTTGTCAGAAGAATGCTTGTAAGAAGAATTTTAAAGTCAGGTAATGATCTGGCCTGGAGGGGGCAAATCTTCTCCTGCAAAGCATGTTTGATTATCTTTTCAGATATCGACTGTTAAATAGGTTGCATTATACTGAGTATTGTAAGCTTAGTCTACAGTTCATTTTAACAAGTGTTTAAATACATATAAATTTAAATAAATAAATAAATAAATACATAAATACATAGATAAATACATACATACATACATACATACATGCATGAATGGTTGACATCATGTCTTTATCATAACAGTATAGTTCACTCACACAATTCAGCATATGAACAATAAATAATATAGAAAATAGAGACTGAATTTTACATGGGCAGTTTAAAAGTAATGTCAATTTTGTGGGCAGAATTCAGGAATTTTAACCGAAGTACTTCTCTAGAATAGTAGCCAGACATTGTTACTCCTAAACATCTAATTAAAACAGAGGTCTTCAAACTTGGCCCTTTTATGACTTGTGGACTTCAACTCCCAGAATTCTTCAGCCAGCGTGCCTGAATTAAAATGTTATTCCTCTCAGATGTAAGAGGCATTCATCTCATTAAAATAACCAGGAGTCTTCTAGAACTTTCAAAACAAACACATCTGCAATTGGGTGCATAGTTTTAGATATTGATATTGGACTATTTTTATTTTTACTTTGTGAACTATTATAAAAGCAGTTTTGATGGTACCATGCATATGCTTATTTAATGTTAACATATGTGTAGTAACTTTCACTATGCTAGAATTATTAACTCATTTGTTCATCTCTGCATCATTTCCCATGATAATTCTATATGAACCAGTATTTGGTATTTAGGCACATTCAAAGAGTATAGTTAGGATGTTGTATTATATACAGGGTGTTATAGTTCAGAACTTGACTTTGTGGTTCCCTAAAGAGGTCATATCAGTTGATATCAGATAGTCATCTGATGGGAGGTCTGAAATCCAATTCTCAGTCAGAGAAATGATCACCTTCCAACCCCCAGCTTGCCTGCTTGTTATTTTAAGCAGGCTGATATTCTGCCCAATCTGTTGGAAGCTGATTTTACTTTTACTATCCAAATTTGGAAACTTCCTAATGTCCTTGGAACAATTTCACTAATTAGCATCTGTTGTTCTTTAGCAGAAGTATTCTGGAAAATACTGTTTTAGAGACTTTTCGGTCTGAGCTCAATTTTCTTTTTTAAAAAAGTTCACATGTTTCATTTGATTTTGAAATGAGCTAAACTGAAGAACTCAAAACACATTTGAAATCTTTTCACTGGAAAAAAAAGTGTTTTTACTACCTCATGTCAGATAGAGGCACTAATGCGTATCTTAAAATGCAAATTTTAATAGCAATCATGCAGAACACTCTATTTCTGAACCAGATATTTTAATTTTATGTTAAAATGTGGGAAATATTTCAAAATTGAGATGACCTCTGTTGTATATATAGTTTTAAGGATATAATAATAGTTTTAATAATTTTGATTATGTGCCATCACAAGTTGTTGTCAACTCTTAGAGACCATAAAGATAGATTTTCTTCATGACAGTCTGTCCCTAACTTGGCCTTTCAGATCTACCAGTGATGTAATGTTTTCTTCCACCTTTGCCAACATTAGAACTTCCTCCAGATAGCTAGGCCTTCACATAATGTGCTAAAAGTAGGATAATTTGAGTTAGAATTCTAGTTAGAAATATGGTTTGTTTAATGAGCCATATGTTTGTTTTCTTGGTGTCCACAGTATTCTCAAGAGACTTCTACAACATTTGAACAGTGTTAATATTCTTCCTATACTGCTTTTTTAAAGACCAACTTTCACTTCAATAGAGTGTCAGAGGGAACATTGTTTCCACTATTCTAATTTTTGTAAATATAGACGCTTCATGGCATCTGAATATTTTTTTCCAAGGCTCTACCAAATGCTGGTCTATGGTATATTTCTTAACTGTTCCTTTTACTCTTGAATGTTAATCCTAAAAGGCAGAAATTGCCTACCCCTTTTTAAATCTTCCACATTATAGTTGATATTTTACTGTAGTTGCAAAAGATATATATGACAATATACTATTAAGCTGCTGTGAAAATGAGAGTACAATATAATTGCAAAATTTCATAAAATTTAGAAAGCAAATGCATTGCAAAGGAGCATTTTGAAGATGATCCCACACTTTGGCTTGACTACAAATAATGATGTATTTTTGGGGAATTATATTTTGAAGTAACTTTTGCTTAAGCAGCTTTGTGTGTGTGTAGTTGAATCTGTGACTATAGAGGATGTTGAATTATAGCTTCTGTTATTTCCAATCATAGTCAAGAGGACTAAAGGGGTATTGAATTCAGCATCCACTTTGTCTATTGAACCGATTAAAGCAAATGAAATATCTTAATACATACAACGGTTTAAGTAAGATAAGTAGCCCAACAAAAGGCAACTTGGTGCTTGTTGTAATTAAAGTGATCCTGAATATCTTTCTATCTGATGTGTATTAAATTTCTTTTTTAAAAATGTACTCTAATATATTGAAAAGCAAACCATTATTGTAATAACAATAAGATGTGCAAATTTATTTTAAAAATCTGTGGTTTTAATTATGTAAGGTAGAATCAACAGTTCCTTTAAACATTTGTATTCTTGGCAATTCTTTAAGAATCTTAACATAACATTATACTACCACCAAATTTAAGGATTTGGATTAGCAATTATTTAAAACTGAGGCTGAAGCTTCTAAGGGGTCACTTTCATATCAAGTTCTAAAAGTCCATTTTTAACATTCATATCTGTTCTACAGGGATAAATCTATTAAACATTGGTATTTTGGCCATCAGTGAGGGGGCTGATTAAAACTATTTGTCTAATCACTCTAATCAATCTAATTTGCAGTAGACAATGGGGGGCATAATCAGTTCACATTATTTATCTGGATAAAGCTCAAAATAAAATCAAATATTGAAAATAAAGCTAAAATAAAATTTAATCTGTACATGTAAAAATTATCAAAATTAAAATATCCAAGCTTTTAATATTAACAAATATAAAATATGCATATATATATATATTGTATGCATACAATGAAATACATAAAAATAGAAATAATAATTAAGCATTTTTGTGGTAACCATTGAAAGAAATAGACACTGCTTTTCAGAGCATACTTTTGATAGGCAGGTATTCATTCCTAAGAACAAAATAATCCTTGTGTTTAAAATTTATCTCCAATTACATTCTTTAGAGTTTTCCCTAAAATGCCAAATATCCTGAAATTTCTAGTAGGCAGCAAATGATTCAACCGTTTATCTCTCAGTAGTAAAGGAATGTACAACATAGCCACAAATATCCAACCACACAAATATCCTTTATAAAGACTTACTGAATAGCAAACTAAGTCTCTTAACTACTACAGCAAAATAGCAATAGGGATCAACCTATAAAGATACAGAAATACACCTAGGTCAGTGGTGGCGAACCTATGGCACAGGTGCCAGAGGTGGCACTTAGAGCCCTCTCTGTGGGCACGCACGCCGTTGCCCCTGTCCTAGGCCTTCAGCTGGGTTTTATAAAACCTTTTTGCTTTAGGCCTCCGCCACCATGTGCAAAAAAAAAAAGGTTCAATCAGTCAATTTCAACTTCTCGCGGGAAAAAAAAGATCTTGCAAAGTTGGAATTGATTGATTGAACCTTTTAGTCCCATCCAGTCTGCCGTTACCACCTCAGCCACGCCCACCCAATTGGCCACACCCAGCCAATGGGCCACACCTACCTGGCACTCGACGATGTATAAGTGGATTTTGGGTTGCAGTTTGGGTACTCAGTCTCTAAAAGGTTTGCCATCACTGACCTAGGTACTCTTTCTACCCATTCTTTTTTAAAATACTAACATGGACACTATCTCTTACATGTTTGTTCCTCTTGTTGCTGTTTCATCACCTTATTTTCTAAAAATAGTTTACAACTTAATTTGTGTCCAGTATCTATTTGGGAAAGACCCACAAGTCTTAACAAACTTTAAACAAACAAGATAAAAGAATAGGTCTGAGTGAATGAGAAAATGAATTTTTCCATTCGGTAAGGTGTTTTCCATTCACTCAGATTCAATTGTAATTCTACTTATACTTGATGATTTCAGTCAAATGGCAATAATAATTCTCCAAATATTTAATTTACAACAAAACTTTATTTTGAAAATGTCTCCTTGGAGTTATTAAAACACTAATCCATGATGTTTTCCTCAGTTGCTAATGTTTTTAAACCCTTGAGAACATGCAACCCTGTATTCTTATCTATAGAGGTTTGCCATTCAGAGATAAATTCATATATTACCAGTAAACGAATTCTTCCCACTGAAAAGATATTTTGTACTCTGAAGAAGAATGTTGTTTACCTGTATTTTTATAATGACTGTCCAATTATTTCTTTTTTCCCCTCTTTCCAGCTTCCAGCAGACCTTACCAAGATGCATCTCACAGATAATCAGCATCCGCAGGTCACACATGTCCCTTCAAGTCAGTCTGGCTGTAGCATTGCCAGTGATTCTGGGAGTAGCAGTTTATCAGACATCTACCAGGTAAATTCAAAGCTTTTATTTTCATAACCAAAAGTATAGTTTATTGTAATATTCCACAGAATAAAGAAAGTGTAGCAATGCTTTTTGTGAAATGTAACTTCTCCTCTCCAACAGCCAACACAATGACAAGCAGGGATTAACACCAGGCAATCAATTATCAATCAGTCAATCAGAAAGCAATGGCATAATCAAGGAATATTACCAAGTAGAAAAATACACCTCCTCCAAAAGTGGCAGGGCAAGTTACTAAATATAAACAAACTCCCCACACAATAGCACTGATTGATGATGTTCCCTAATTGCAAAATGAAACATCTACAAGCAAACAACCAGGCTCAAAGAGAACCTTTTGTTATTTGCAAATAACTTTAACTGGAAACTAAATCTCACAAGTTTTTACCATGGAATTAATGAGGTAATAGATGGAAATAGTTTAAATGGAGAAGATTTCATTGCTGACAATTTAGTAATTCATATGCTATTTGCAAGGAAAGATAAGGATATTTAAAGAAAATAGGTGTTTAAAAATGTGTAATACTATAATTGTTAAAGATTTGAATCTGTGAAGACGAAGTGGTTGGCATCCTTTAGTCCAGGGATGTCAAACCCGATCGCATCACAGGCATATTGGGACTTGTTTTGCCTTTGTGGGGCCGGGGTAGGTGTGGCCTGCGCAGGCCGCATGTGGTCCACGGGCTGCATGTTTGGCATGCCTGCTTTAATCAGTTGACTACAGGTAGTCCTCGAGTTACGAATGTAATGGAGCCTGCCCATTCCATTCGTAACTCGAGGATTCGTAGGAGTGAATGGTGTACCTTGAATGCGATCACTCCCTGCTTTTGCCCACACATTCGCTAATTGTATGGTTTGTTAAATGCACATGAGGTATCCCAGGGTGGGGAAGGCCATAGTGATGAAACAGGCCAGCTGCTTCAGACCACCCAAGGCTTCCCCCGAGCCATTGAGATACCTCATACTCCCCACAATTCCCCCCCCCATTATGCATGTTGGGTCACTTATCTTGCAAAGATCTAGCGAGCTGTCTCCTCTCTGCCGCACAAGATCATGGCACCCAGAACCTTTCACTTTTGTCACTAAATGTTTTCAAGCTGAAAGGAGGCTTTGGGTCAGTGAAATCATTGCCTCAAAGCATCCGGCCAGCTTGCAAACCTTTTGGGCACCGAGACTGGAAGCTCCTGGGGGACATGATATTGCGTGACTTCAGGCTTCCAGTCTCTGTGCAAAATGTGCTTGAGGAAAGGCCTTTGCTGATGAAAATGGAGGCCGGGACTGACGGACGAGGCTTTTTGCAAAGATGGCAAACGGCTTTGCAAACGGAGAGAAGGTTTCAATGTTTCAGGCCTTCCCTCCGTTTGCAAAGCCTTTTGCCACAGATCTCATTCAGACCTCTGTTTGCAGAGAACAGAAGCCTAAAGTAACGTAAGATCACGCGAGATCAGTAGCATGAGATCTCGCGCTACTGATCTTGCAGTACTTTAGGCCTCCATTCTCTGCAAACGCATTAAAGGCCTGAAGCCGCGAAACAGGCCAAGAAACGAAGGCTCTCTAGATCTTCGCAAGATGAGTATCCACAGGCCTAATGCCTTTGGAGACCTGGCGGCGGGTGGGGGAGGGGATAGTCAGGGTGAATGTTGCAGTGCCTCTGCCATCATTCATAAGGGTGAACGACTGCTGTGGTGTTGCAACATTCATAATTTTGGTACTTGTTCGTAAACACTAGGGGATGCTTATCGCGTAACTTTGAACGTTCCCTAAGGGAACATTTGTAACTTGGGGATTATCTGTATTAGGGGCAAGCTAGGCTACTCTAAAATAGAGTGGAGTAGCTAGCAGTTCACCATATTACGGAAATATGTGGACACAACTATGTTAAATCAGGTTTAGGAATTTGATTAATCCAACTAAGATTCACTTGGCTTTATATTTAGTTTTCTATCCCCAATTCAGCAAACTCCTGCCTTTGCTGCTGGGGCAAAAGTGATAACACTAGAAATAATGTTTAGGAACGTAAATAGCTCATTGATAGAATATTATTCTTTTCATGTAGAAGAATACTTAAAAAGACCTGAAAGGAAATCACAGATTAGGAATAGATACTGTTGTACTATAATGCACAATTTGGGCATATTGACTACACAGAGTGAACTTTAACACATCTCGAGAACCACAGTGCCAGACAGTAGAAGTAACACTGAGCTACACAGACTGATGCTTTGGTTGATAAAATTCCAAATATTCCTTGCCACTCTTGATTGTTTTTTCCTTTTGTGTGAGTTGAAAAAATCCTTTTAAAACGACAATGTGATGGCACTAGATATGTGAAACAATAGCTTCTTTTAGTTACTATCCGTGCAGTAAGTTACTAGTTACTTGTTTTATCAGACTAAATCAACAGCGTTGGTAGTGATGGTAATGGTCCGATTGCAGAAGAACTTTTTAAGCATCAAGTTTATGTATATGAATAAATTATTATGTTGGACTATTATCTGCTCATATATTTTTAATAACCTATAGAAATTCATATGGTGAATGAAAAATGCCAAATTGGCTTTGGAGTTCTTTGAAATTGAGTGGCATAAAAACAACATAAATAAATCTGTTCACCTGCAGTTAGTCAAATTAACAGTTGGCCAGTATGTGATATTTGGAGTTAGTTTACATACACGAAGTCTTTCTTTTTTTTATTTAGAGACTTTATTAAGGCTGAATAGTGCAATAATATCTAAGGCAGAAGCCCAGTGCATGTATGGCTTACATATGTATATATACATAGCACTGAATCTGCATACATAGATTACAATATAAATCTGTGTTCAACAGAGTTCATTAGTATTTTGTTGTTATCCTTATATTTCTATAATTATTTTGGGCATAATTCAGTAGGTGTTTAAGCATCTTTAGTTTCATGGGTTTTCAGTGGACAGATGTATATACAGTATGTACTTAAGTTTTCAATTGAAATGGATGGAACATAAATTTTTAATTCTTAATTTGGGCTACTAGTTTATATTCATTTTAACACATTCTACCATATGAGATTTGCACCTTAATTAAATTTATTAGCAAATTACTTCCAACTGTGAAAATCTCACTAATCCTTTCTAAATGTTTGTATCAGAAGATGGTGATCCTTCTAATATTTTTATTATGAATAACCTTATCGTTGGTATGCAAATTTTGAATGTGGCTTTCTGATTTAAACAAAGAAGCAGGTGGAGGGATGCTTAATCTTTCCCTTATATTCTCTTTTGCCTTTCTGGTATGTTTCACCACGAACATAGATTTTTATATTTACAGACTGGGAGGAAAACCTAATTTCTGGGGGGAGTTCAGATGAAAAAACATTAAGTTTTGGAAGACTTGTGTACTTCCCATTTTCTGCTTCTAAAACAACAATATAATTTTGCTTTGTTTTTAGTCTTTGCTTAAATAATTTGGATATTATTTTCATCCTTGCCTTCTGTAACTAGGTGAACTTTGAAAGTGCTATGACTGAAATTTCCTGTTCTTGTTGGGAATTTTAATGACTATAATTCTGACGGTACTAGATTTGGAAGATTGCAGAACATCTGGGAATTCTCATCCAATGGAAACATATAAAATCATGAAATTGAGAGTTTTTATTATGATCAGAGGTCAAAAATGAATAGAAAAACAAGATTTTTGACATAATCAATATCCAGTAGATGAAAATTAATTAAAAGTGTGGACTCATGAATCCATTGTGCCACGGTTGTTAAACTCACTGCGATAACCGTTTGTTGGTTCACAAAGTAGCCCCCAAATATTAAACTTCAGAAAACAGTAACATAATGCTATAAGAAGATAGAGGTTTCGAATTTTTTAATAGGTAACCATAATTGGAACTGGCAACTTGATTGTTAAGCAAAGAGGCCACCAAAGTGAAATGGCAACTTTGCGATTTCATTTTATGATCTTTCTTCAAGATTCCTTTCCTTTATGGATATAAATGTGAGGATTGATTGTAGAGTTATTTTTTCATCACTGGTGTAATTACAAACACTCATTGTATGAGGCAGTTGTTAAACAAAGCTTAATTATGTTCTTTTTAATTTTTACATGGATTAGTTTCCTCCCCAATCTCTATGAAATTGTAGATTATTTTCATATCTGACAAATAAATTATAGAAATTCTACATCAAAGGTTACTGGCAAAGCTTTCTTATCCCCACCACCATCACCACCAAGTGAGCTACACAATAACTTAATTTTGAATGGATTTTTCCCAAATTATCTTTAAATCATAGGGTTAAGTGAATTTGGTAATGGACCACAGCACAGATATAATATTTGTACTTTTATGCTGACTCTGAAGACATGCTTCTTTGTTTGCATTGCAACCTGATCCTTGGATGATACATATTCTAAAAAATGATAAATCATGAAATGACAGCACCGAATAGTGTAAGCTTACTCATATTTATTGGAACAAATTGTGATATAAATAACATTTCCTTCGATAAATAAAAGGGACAGCTTCCACCAGAATCTGTCCCTTGGAATAGAATTAAAAGCTCATTTTGAGTCAATAAATATAACATATAAGGGCTGTTATCCATTTGTGTATTTATATGTTAGACATTGTAAGATGGGATACTGACCTAAATGTGGAGCAGAGACAGCACTTGTCATACTTTTGGCAAACCTCTGGAGTAACTTGGTTGTACGGTAATGCACCTGGCTTTTCTTGATCCCTTGGCAACCTGCAATACTGTTGATCATTGTGACCTTCTGGATCAGCTGAAGTGATTGGAGGTGGATAATACTGTATTGTGTGGCTCTCCTCTTCCTCGGAGCCAATTCCAATTCATCAGAGTGAGAGGTCCTGTCCTTGACACCTACTCTGTGGGTCCTGCAGGGTTCAGTGCTCTCTTGGCTCCTGTTCAAAACTTCTAGATGGAGCTGCTGGGTGAGATCATCCATCATCACGGTGTGGGGTATCATCAGTGTAACGATAATGCCAGTTTTACATCCCTGCCTCTGGGGAATTAACTATTGCTATTGATGTCCTGTCTGAAGGCTGTGGAGGTTTGGACAGGGAATAACAAGCTTCAGCTCAGCTTTGGCACCGTTCCCTAAATCTTGCCTGTTCATCAGCTATGAGTTTTCCTAGTCTAGCCAATCCAGTAACTTGTAACATAAAAAATGGGTACATAGATTATTAGGAATGCTTAACAGACAAACAATGATTGTTTATAGGGTTTATGATGTTGCCATTCTTAAGAAAGGAAACCGTTATGGATCTAATCAATATCTCTGATGGTATTAGATCACTATGAGGGGCTTTCCAACTTTTCAGTTTCTAAATTACTTTCAGAAACTTTGAGGTGGAGACCTGTGGCTCAGATGGTGTGAGATATCTCATATAAAGACTAGAAATAGACATGGGGGAACTATAGAGTGTGCTGTAAAACTCTTCCTACCTACCAGCTGGAAATCTAGACTCTAAATCCCCTATTATGATGAACAAGCTTGCAAACTAAGGAGATATTCTAAGGAGGTATTCAGCCTAAAAAGTCACTCCCAGTTTGTTTGATCAAAAGCTTGCTGTTTTTCTTTTAAGTTATATTTTTTATAAAACCATTTTTCTGGGTAATTAACTGATTTCTGGCAAGGGATAATTGTTTGCTGTATAAATTTTAAAACTTGTCATTAATCCTGATCAAACCAGGATATCATTAGCATGTTGGGAAGATAATAATTATGGACAGATTTGGATTTTATTTTTATATTGTTCTGTATAATCTGTGTAGCAAATACTAATTATTGATCATATTAATATTTTTTCTTAAAAATATTCTGCGGTTGCTTGGAAAGGCCTCTGATGATGAAATGCAGGCCTGGGTGGGGGCAGGGGCGTGTCAATTCAGACCTCCATTTTCAGCTGCAGAGGCATTTCCTGAAGGCCTCTGATGGCGAAATGGAGGCCGGGGGCGAAAATAAGACCTGGTGCCTCTTTTGGAGCCCCCCCCCCAAAGACTGGGTCTTATTTTCGGAGAAACAAGGTAAGTCACCACTCTTTCAGTGCCATTCTAATAGTGAATGGTTACGGAATGAGTAGTTGTTAAGCAGTGTTCACCTGTACTCTATTTGAATATATAGTTTCTCTTATCGCCATATGAATATTTTTTTTCTTCTGGCAAGTTATATGATCTAGTTAAAATCCATTATATTAAGATTTTCTGCTTTTGATATCACCCGTGCTATTAATAAAATCCTTTTGGGATGAACCAATATTTTTTTAAATAACTTTTTCCTGTTCTTGAGTAGGTTTTAACTATTTGATTGCAGAGTTAAACAGTGTTGAAGTAACTTTGAAAAACAAATAATCTAGACTCCAGCAAATTACTCAGACATCCATATGTAAGATACAGATTCATTTTACAGCTGGATCGTAGGATTTATTGCCTTGGAAAATAAAAGACAGAAAATTAGCCAGTATCACATGTAATAAATGTTTAACTCTCAGAAATTTAAATATCATTTATTGCTTGTGTGTTCAGGCTACAGAAAGTGAGATGGGAGATGTGGATTTAACTGGCCTCCCAGAAGCACCAGTAGATTCTGAAGATGATGAAGAAGAAGATGAAGACATTGATAGAACATCTGACCCTCTGCTAGGGCGAGATGTTGTTCGGGAGTGTCTTGAAAAAGAACCTGCTGACAAAACAGATGATGATATTGGTGAGAAATAAAAATACTGCCTTTCGTAAATAAATCTGTTATTTTGTAGTATAAGCTATTACATAAAGATGGAGTAATGAATTACCCAAACAGTAATCATTATATAGCTAAAAGGATATCATGCTTGTAGCAATAGGCAGCAGCCAACTAAAGAGACTGTAAAAGTACAACTGTGTAGGAAGGGAAAAAAAGTTGGACAAACCAGTGAGTGTACCTGGTGACTTAAGATATGATTTGTTATTGTTAATGAATTTGTTAACGTTAGCTGAGATCTGAAAGTTTACTGTGGCCTGAGCCACAGCAGGGTGGATGGAGAGTTGAGTGAGATGTAGTGGTTGGATGATGTTGTAGGAAGGTGCTGTCCAAAATGTGTTTTACAGAAGCTCTGGCAGTCTGTTTTAGAATTATCCCATTTGTTGGTGGTTTGTTGGTTGGATGGATGGATCCCCTCAACTTGGGAATGGAAGGGCATTGGGAAGGAAGTAAATTATGTGGGAGAAAGAGAGCAGGGAGAACAATGCGTTTGACTTTTTGGCCAAGTTGATGATAGATTTCTCCAGGCTTATGGTTATGCAGGATTTCAGCCTGCCTTCTTTGGACCTGGAGTAAGAGATAGCTCAGGAGTTCATAACCACCATAGCAATCATGGTGGCCTTGGCCTCATGGCAAGAGTATCATGTCACCATTGCAGTCATGGAACTGTTCCAACTTTCTCAAGGTCCAACTTGCAATAGAGGTCAAACAATATATTTGTTTTTTGTCTTGGAGCAGCAGAATGGTAATCTGAGATTTGGGGATGTTAACATCAGTTCCTTGCCATGGACACCTCTTGTATCTGGAGTTCTGAACAATTAACTCCCATTGCATAGAGGTGGGTCATATTCAATCATCCCAGCGCAATTGGGTTTCAGAAGGAACTTGGAAATTTTACCAAGGCTGTGACATAGCTGAGATCCAGGTTGCTGCTTGAGATAGTCTATGGAGATTCTCAGTCATCCACATCATAGTTGTCCCAAAGATGCTTTTTCAGGATGCAACTGGACTTTCTTGTTTTTCTTTGAAGACATTTCACTTCTCATCCAAGAAGCTTCTTCAGCTCTGACTGGATGGTGGGAAATGGAAGAATTTATACTCCTTACAGACAGCTGGTCATTTGCATTTTAGAGAGTCATTGAGGCCACCTGGAGGCTTATCTGTGTCATCAGGGTCACCTAAGTAGTGCAAATGGGTGTGAAATCTTCTTGGAACTGTTGAAAGGACTGTGTTGTAGACTGGAGATAGATGATGCCCTATGCCCCCCTCTGAAAGAGGGGTCAAAGAGGCCATCTATGTCAAAATTGAACAGCTCTTAACAGAGGGAGAGGGATACGACATCATCTATCTCCAGTCTACAACACAGCCCTTTCAGCAGTTCCAAGAAGGCTCCATATCCATTTGCACTACTCAGGTGAGCCTGATGACACAGATAAATCTCTAGGTGGCCTCAACAACTCTCTAAAAGAATGCAAATATCCAGCTGTATGCAAGGAGTATAAATCCCTTCATTCCCCACCATCCAATCAGAGCTAAAGAAGTTTCTTGGATGAGAAGCAAAATGTCTTTTTAAAAACAAACAAACCAAGAAAGTCCAGTTGCCTTGTGAAAAAGCATCTTTAAGACTGCTTGAGATAGGCATATGACAAGGGTCTTGATTAGATCACGCTATGCAGAATCTCTGTGAGTGTGGATCCTGTCTAGCGTTCTGTTTTTATGGAAATGCTGTGGGAGATGAAGCAATGGAAAGCACCCCTAAAGCGTGCCTGCTGTGACTGGATGGCCTTTGCACAAATTCTTCTTGAGCACCAATTGGACCTGGAAGCTTTGCTCACTGTTGTCCACACCTTGATCACTTCCTGATTAGATTACTGCAACACTCAACACACAAGCCTGCCCTTAAATATGATTGGGAAGTTACAATTGGGTTTAGAATGCAGTGGTGCCTGCAGATCTAGGCTGTATTATATGCCATTGCTTTGTGAGCTGCACTAGAATCCAGTTTCTTTCTGGATGAAATTTAAGATGCTGGTTATCATCTTTAAGGTCCTGAATGGCAGATTTGTGGACCTCTCTCTAAGGATGTCTGTTCCACCAGGTAGAATAGAGTGGTCGTGCTCCTAGTCACTTCCCTTAAATGTTGTTATCTGATGTGACTAAGGAGATGAATATTCTCTGTAGCTGTTTCTGTCCTATGTAACACCTTCCTTCTATGCTTCTGGCCTTCTTGAAAGCCTTGGAAAGTTGGCTTTCCCACCAAGGACTGACTGGGTTAGTGTGTGGTTAGAGCCTAGTAAATGTGAATACTCAGTGATGGAGGAGTTTGTTTTGGACCGCTTGGAGTTGTTTTACATTTTATTGTGTCCTTGTTAGCTGTTCAGTTTTATTGTACATTCGATGGGCAGCAGTGTAAGTCTTTTTAAATCGATACATACATGCATGCATGCATATAAATAAATGCTAATGTAGAAAAATGGTGGTTACAACATTTTGCATAGTGCTTAATGATAAATCCTGTTCTTATGCATTTAATCTCTCCTTCCCTCTCTCCTTCAGTGTAACATGTAGATAATAACCCTTCCATATGATTAAAGTACATTTTCAATGTATAAAGGTAGCATTGAATTTAGGTCAGTGAAGATACCTATGTTAATTAGCTTGAATTGATGGATGATAGAGATAGAAATTCAGTTTTGTTATGAAAATTAAGTAACATTTGACAATGTACCTTATAGTTTTACCTTACAAAATTTATCATTTGCATTTAACATAAAACTTTTGTTCCGCTAGAACAATTACTAGAATTTATGCATCAGCTTCCAGCATTTGCAAACATGACTATGTCAGTAAGAAGAGAACTTTGTTCAGTCATGATATTTGAAGTGGTAGAGCAAGCAGGAGCCATCATCCTTGAAGATGGGCAAGAAGTAAGTAGGGCATGTTGTCATGGAAATGTTACTGTATTATACATGAGATACATATATTTTTGTGTTTCTCTATTGAGCAAATAGGATGACCATTTGAATAATGTTTACTGAAAGATACAAGTCTTTGGCATTATTACGTATATAATGAGAAGTTCTCGATGTTAGCATCCCCTAATGGGTCAGATTAGGGGAGATATTTCTTTTTGGCTGACAAGCACATTCAAATATCCATGAGGATAGCTAAGCTATATACTCTTCCCATCACTTTGTGGTGAATATTTAGATTCCACAAGCTCTTATACATGCAAATACTTCTGCATCACTGAACAGGTTGGCTCTATTAACATATATTTGGATAATGTTATACTTTTTAATTTTATATATACTTATTCTGGAAAGCATTCATTTTAGGATGATAACCTTATTATATCATATTCCCTACTTCTTTCATATTCTTCTTTGTGCAGTAGAAACTCTTTTACATTCATATTTACAACCCTTATGTTTAGTTTCTCAAATCCTTCTGCTATATATTTTCTACCTGGTCACAATAATATGCCCATTATCCATTTGCAGTTATCAGTGGGGCTAGGTATCATACAAGAATAGGCTGTTCACCATAAGATAAGATTTTGTAGAGTGTGGTAATTGACAGAAATTCTTAATTGCTTATTGATTTCTGATTATTTTTGTGTGATAGAAAGGCAATGATCATTAACATAACTCTTAATTTAATCTATTTATTGTTTTTTGTCATGTCATTGTTGCAGTGTAAACTGGACTTGTATCAAACCTCATGTTTTCATGTTGAGTGAAACTTTTGATTCATAGCAAGATAACTGAGATTGCTTTATGTTTTTTTTTACTTTAGCTTGACTCTTGGTATGTTATTTTAAATGGCACCGTGGAAATTAGCTATCCTGATGGGAAAACAGAAAGTCTTTGTATGGGAAATAGTTTTGGGATTACCCCATCTCTGGAAAAACAACACATGAACGGTGTGGTTAGGACCAAAGTAGATGATTGCCAGGTAAGATAAATGATATTAGAGTAAAATATTTTACCTTTGTGAAGCTTGTTATAAACAATCATAATATATTATCCTTTAAAATAATCAAGAGTTTATCCAACTGTAATACCAGCCAAATGTATGCGGCTTTCCTATCCATTCCCAATTTTCTGTGATTTACCTGATGCTGGATGTAGCACTTGACCCACTGGCCCATTCTTTTAGAGATACTGCCTTATCTAAACAGACCAGCAGAATGACCATGGACAAGCAAAAAAATCAGTGGGAGCAGGATCGACTTCTGTCTCCCTGCTGGCTTCCTCCACAAAGGTGCTGCAATGGTTGGAACTTTGACACAAGAATAAGACTGGCCTGAACAATGTGGAAATTTCAGTTCCACAGAAGTAATGATTCCTAGATTTATTACATATTCTTTAACTTAGTAGATTTGAAGTAGATTGATTGTAAAATAGTTGGGGTACAAGGCATTGGGAGCGGCAGTGACTTCTAACTTCCTGTATTAAAAGAATTTTTGGCAATAGATTTTTTACATGATATTGCTGTTTATTTTTAAATGTCCTTCTTATTTTGGAACAGTTTGTATGTATAGCCCAGCAGGACTATTGGCGTATTTTGAACCATGTTGAAAAAAATACGCATAAAGTGGAGGAAGAAGGAGAAATTGTTATGGTGAAGGAGCATAGAGAATTAGACCGCAGTGGAACCAGAAAAGGACACATTGTCATTAAGGTAATCAAAAAATGATATCTTACTAAAGATTCATTAAATTCCAGCTTTTATGAATATCATAAGATTAGTTTTCAGGATAAATCTTGTTTCTTATCATAGAGGATTATTAAATAACTCAACTATATTACTGGATTTTATTTATTTATGTAAACTACTTAAAGGCTGTCAAACTTTTAATAACTCTGGGTTTACAATTAAAAAACCAAAAATAATACTGGGAAAGAAAAAGATATATAAGTGGCCTGAAGACACACATTTAAATAACAACAACAAAAATCACACAACGGGCTCCATCGATCCACATTGTGAATAGTCAAGTTTTTAGTAGCTTTCTGAACATCATTAGAGTGGTAGCTATCCAAATTTCTTGGAAGAAAGAAGTGTGCAAAGGCACACTTCTTGGGTTCCCCTGGATGACACTACTTGATCAATGGAATGATCAACTGACCCCATGCCATAAAGGGATTTATAGGGGATAACCATTATCTTGAATTGTGTGCACAAGCTTACAGTTAACCAGTGCAGCTTCATGGAGCAGTGGGGTCACATAGGCATACTGAGGTATGCCCACTATTACCTGTACCTCTGCATTCTGGACCAGCTTGAACTTTCTAGAAGTTTTCAAGAGCAACCCCATAGAGACTGCATTACAACAGTCCATTCATGAGGTGACTATGGTGACTATTTGAAGGGTCTCCATTCCAGGAAAGAGTGCAACTGGTGCACTAGATGTACATGTGCAAAAACCTTTTGACCACTGCTGTCATTTGAGCAGAAGATGTGAGTCCAGGATGATCCCCAGATCACACAGCTGTCTAGAATGGGGAAATGCAACACCATCCAAGAGCAAAGATGGAAGATTCTCATACATAAGGAGACTCAAATACCCACAGCCACATGGTCTTGTCAGGATCGAGTCTTAATACATTTGCCTCCAGATTCACACAGCCTCCAGACTCTGGGACAGGACCTCAATAGCATCACCTGCTTGACCCAGAATCAAGATCTAAAGTAAGCCAATGGATATAAACCAATGGATGATTTACTTCTTTATTTAAAAAAATTATATAGCCACCTAATATCTAACATTGGATCACCCAGCAGTTTCATGTAAAAAAGAGGCAAGAGCATTGAGATATGTTGTACTCCATAAGTGAGGGTCTGTGGGCTCAATCACTTCCCCTCTATCAACAGTGATTGAGCCTGGCTGCCAAAGAGGAAAAGCCGTGCAAAATGGTGTTCCTCAATCTCAACTTCCACAGCCAGTCCAAAAGCATATCATAGTTAATTCTATCAAAAACAGCTGAAAAGTTACGTCTGGTTCCGGATTGCGGCGTCTGCAGCCATGCGGAGAGACTGCTCTCTTTGCCGGCTGCTCTCTGCCGGTAGACCCTTAATCGGAATCAGGTCGAAAAGTCGCCCTGGAGGGCAACTACCATTTAGGAGGCCCTCATCGACCGCGGAAGGGCGGCAGCTCCTTCCGCGGTCCGAGAATGCTCCTTAGGGCCGACGGAGGAAAGATCGGCCAGTAAAATGACCGATCACTTTGTTCTGTAACCAGAAGTCAGAAGAACATCTAAGCGCAAGAACCACCGTGGTTGATCTGGGTGAGATTTCCCCCCCCTCTCTTAGTCCTCTTTTCTTTTTTGCTTCCTGTAAAAAACATTTTTGGAACTATTTCCCTGCTTTAAGAAAGCAGCGTTTGTGAGTGTGGGAAAAGAAGCTTAAATGGACTGAAAATTAACTTTAATTGACTATTCTTTACTTTTCCATCTACTTTGGGGTCTTAAAATTTTTTTTATTATTGAACTAATTATTGGATTCAGTTTACATGTGAATAATATATTTTGTCTCTTCTTTTTCTGACCTTGTTAACTTATTTTTGGTGTCTGGGAAGAGATTTCACAGTCTACTGAGGACACCTTGTGGAGAAAAGTTAAAATTGCAACTGTCTTTTTTCCCTGTTTGATGTTGAGACTGACTTGACCTTCAGATCATCATAAAAGGGAAAAGACAAAGAAATTCAACAGCTGTATTTGTGGGGGTGGATACTGGTTAAATGTTTTTTAAATACAGCCTCCACTAAAAGATAACAGGATTGTTTCTAATCACTATCGAAATGGAGAAACCCTATTCACAACTTGACTGTAAACTTATATTGGAAAAAATTTATGAAGCCACTGAGCAAATACGTCTACAAATAAAAGAGAGTACTACAGAAATAAAAAACAGAAATTTTACTTTAAACCTACAAACTGACCTCCAGATCTTATCTGAACATTCTACAGACCAAAAAACAACAGAAGAGGAACCAATCAACATTAAAGAAGATTCTACTTCATTTTATACACAACCTAATGAGATTTCTGATGAACAAAAAATGACTGTAATTAAATCACTTACAATCTTAAAACCAACAGAAATGGATATACAAATACAACTAATTGAGAACCATGATAACTTGGATAATCATCTATTAATTACAAAATTGGATATAATTGAGTGTTCTATTCAATAGATCCAAATGTCGAGATTTGAATCTCTAAAACAACAAGGGACTATCTACAAAGAAGTCAGGTCTCCAAAACAGGATGGGACGCTCTTTCTTGACCCAAATGATACTACAAGGCACAAAGAGAGACTTATTTGTTGATATTGAGGCTCTGTTATGGAAACCTACTTGGCATAAAAAGAAAGCTAGAATAAGATTTAAGAGTGTGATCCAAAATTCTACATAACGGGTTTAAAAGGCTTTCTAGATACGGATTGATTCATAGTTAAGATGGGTGAATAAGACGTTAGATTGAATAAAGATTAACTAAATATTTGAACTTAGTAAGAAGATGTTTGTTTGTGTATTAACATGTTTGTTGTGGATATAGCAATTTTGGGTGGGGGTTAAAGGAGTTTGATATAGATATTGATTGATTGATAGACTATAGGTTTAAAAAATAGAGTAAAAGTGTATTTTTTGGAATAATATTTTTGTTGTTAGAAAGGATAGTTATTTGATAATGAAAGAAGAATAAGAGGGATTTTTGAAAAAAGAAGAAATGATATTAATAAATGATTACTGACTATGTTAAGGAAAAAGGAAATGGAGAGACACCTGAAGTGTTAGTAACATTTTTATTGTAGCAAAACAGAATATGGTAATTGAAAATAGTAAAGCTTAATACAGGATTTGGATTCATATAGATGAAATGTTATTGATGATTGTTTTGATTGACTTAACTGTATTGAAATACATTAATTTGAATATAATATATTATTTGAGGGAATAGAGAGGGAGTTTTTAATGATCTAATTTGAATTACATATGTATGATTTTGCTCTTGGATAATTGATTACCCTGTCATCACATTGTTTCCTAAGCACTTGTTTGTAAAAAGAAAAAAACAATAAAATTTGTAAAAAAAAAAAAGGGCCGGAAAAGTGATCAGTAGACTAATGGTAATATCTTCAAAACCAGATCACACTGCAATTGCTCTGAGACTGAAAGCAAATGTAGTGTATGAGCCCTGTAATGCATTCAGCTTTCTATTGTTTGGGACAATCCATAGAGGCCATACGTTCCTGAGATGACTATAACTCAACATGACAGGGTAATAAATTGAAGTCTCCAAGGACAAGCAATTTTGGAGTCGCCTACAGCAGCCTGACAAAGGAATTCTTTGATTCATAGATACATAAAAGGAATTGATTATTTGAATGCGTAGAAATGGTATGAATTGTAATGCTAAATAAATATCTAGAAAATATTGTACAATTAAATGTTTACAGTATTTATTACTAAGATTTATGAATAAAATAAATTGTTATAGAGACAATAACTTAATACATTGACCTGGTCTTTGGTTAACATTCTAGTATCTTGTTAATGTTAAATAAGACATCCCTGTTGTTACCTGGGCACCTGACAAATAACAAGTATATTTCTTTTCCCAAAATGGAAGATAATATAGGTTTTCTGCTTTGATCTCTCTGAACTCTCAATTTAGATTATCATATTTATCTTCTTACAGTGAGTGTTGGGTTAAGGAACTGCCACATCTTGCTTCTCATGTCCAGCTGTTAAAAAACAATTGAAGCTAAGTTAGAAATGGATTAGTGAGGCATCAGAAATTAGAGTGGTAATTACTGCATTTAAGTGCATGTGTGAGAAAATAATGGCAGAGTTTATCATGAAATAATAACAAGGGGACAGCAAATATTTATAATGAAGGATTTTAACAAGCATTTGGAGGATAGGTGGACAAATATTGTTTTAGCATAAAAATTTATGAATAACATTTAGGAATTGGAATTTATGTGTCACTATCTCTGATTGTATCATGGTTGATAATACTACAGAACTAAGTTGTCAAGAGATTCACTGCAGTCTCTTTGTTTTTAAGGCTACACCTGAACGTCTCATTATGCATTTAATAGAAGAGCACTCTATTGTGGATCCAACCTACATTGAAGACTTTTTATTAACATTCAGAACATTTTTGTCAAGCCCTCTGGAAGTTGGAGACAAACTTTTAGAGTGGTTTCAGGTTGACAGTCTCAGGGACAAGGTTGGTTCCTAAATTAGACAATACCGGTTTGGTTTTTCTAATTGTCATATGTTGGCTTACTTTTACTGATGAAAACTAGTTGAATTTTTTGCTGAACCTTATTGGATGTGTTTGATCTTCTCTGAAGTATATTGAGAGATTATAAAAAGAACAAATTCTGTGCAATTATTCATGCTATGCTGTCAAAAAGTAGTATCCCAAATTAAGCTTATTCTGGCTGTTCTTAATTTAAATAAACATACTTCCATCTAATTAGCTTTCGCCAAAGGAGGGTTGGAGTTGTTTTAAAAAATATGAAAAATAAAAGTAGATATATTTTATATTGTTAAAAGAAAGCACAATGAATAATAAAGATGGTAGGATTTCCTTCTGATCTTTATAATAGGCTATGCCATTCCTGGACAGAAAAAAAAGGAGTTCATGCTCCCTCATTTACTTCAGATGAACACTGTATATGTATAAAAAGTATTTAAAAAAATTACTAGTTGGTGTACTTGAGAAATTGTGAAGACATAAATAATGTTGATTATGTATACAAAGTTACTGCAATTCAAAACCTGGAGTAACATTTTATGTGGCTGGGTATTTCTTGCTATTGATTGATAAAGTAACTGGGAAATGGCCAGTATAGATGTAATTGGGCTGTAATATATAGCTAAATTTAGGAATGTGTTCCTGTTTTCTTAGCCTTTGAACTCATTATCAGCAAAACAGCATTTGGATGTTTTGGATCTTTAAAATGTCTGAAAATTGCAAGAAAAAATTCATAAACCGATTTTCAATTTGAAATAATATTTATTTAAAATTATTTTATTCAATTCATACATTTAATATTTTCTGTGAGTGTCATAAATTATATTTTTTTAAATTCTCTCAGGGCTCCTCTCAAATCTTTTTGAGACTGCATGGATCCTTGGGTCTCTGGAGGTTACTGTACTGTACAGTACTAATGATTTTTCTCCTTTTTTAAATTCGTAATTAGAAACTTTGATAAACTCATAAAATGAAATGATAAGTTTAAGCATTGTTTTATCTAGAAATAGCAGTAGAATTGTATTGAAATGTCAACTTGTATTTATTCTTAGGTTACTCGAGTTGTACTGCTATGGGTGAATAACCATTTTAATGATTTTGAAGGAGATCCAGCCATGACAAGATTTTTGGAAGAATTTGAAAAAAATTTGGAAAATGCGGTAGGACCCAATATAAACTATTTTATATTATATATTTTATAGCTATATCTTCTAAGACCACTTTAACAATAAAAAAAATCCAATCTGTTCAGAACATTTTTAGAAGGGTGTTCTACGAGTCATTCATATTTGTGTTTTGAGTGTCATTCAGGAGAGTATATATTTTAAGCCTAAACTGTTGGGCCTTTCTTTTACATGTCACAATTTTGGCAAATAACCCAGAACCAAGGTCATCAGTAGGATAGTCCTATGTAATCTGAATATTACACTGAATAATATGAGTGTTCTTCACTGTGGTATTTTATGCCTGTAAAAAGCTCCATTCCAATTTTTTTTTTTTTTTAGAGTTGACAGGTTTTTGGTGGGAATCTTGTGGTCCATGAGTATCATAGGATGCCTGGACAGAGCTCCACTCTTCTCAAGTGTTTCTTTAACTGGTCATTTGCTCATTTGTTAACTTTGGGTGTAGAAAGATCTCTCCAGTCTTTCAATCTATATAGAGCTGCTTAATTCCAAAGAGACTGTTCTTGATATTCCAAGGGGGATGGAAGTCTTTACCCATCATTTTTCTAAACTATTATGAGCCAACCAAGCAGCAGTTCCTACTTAATATCTTGAGATCAGTTCACAAGAACTGTGAGGCTAGAATTATGCAAGACAGCTACCTGGGCTCAGTCTTCTATTTGTATTCAGCACTATTTATGGGCCTCCAATCTCAAAGATGCATAATTTGGAGCAGCTGTTTTTATTTTGTGTAATAAGATATATATTTATTCATAAATGTGAATCACAAACACCAGTGAGAACTGGTTCCTAACTGAAGTAGTTTAAGTTCACACTCCCTACCACTGCCTACTTGGTGTCAAAATTCCTTTTAAGGTTTCCATTGTGTCAGCCTTAAAAATTGACCGGAATAGTAAGAGTTGTGCCTAATCATGATTGATATCCATGGTGCATAGGACTCTTGTCAAAAAACTTCAAAATTTTGAAACTGCAAAATTTAAAACTTCCATTTGTTAATTCATAAATCTCCAATCAGAGAAATTCAGTTACAGGTGAGTATAAATGGTTATATAATCTCCCCCTTCATAATTAGGATTTCATGTTGTTTAGATGCAGAACATTCATGTTTGCTTGTCTAATCATTTACAGAAAATGAAAGGACATCTCAGGTTACTAAACATTGCATGTGCCGCAAAAGCAAAGTGGAGACAGGTCACCTTGCAAAAGCCTTCTAGAGATTCACCACTTTTCTTCAGTCTTCTTGGAGGGAGCGAAAAAGGTTTTGGTATTTTCGTAGAGTCAGTGGAATCGGGAAGCAAAGCAGCAGAAGCTGGGCTTAAACGTGGTGATCAGGTGAGGTGAAATTTTAACAATTATATTTTTTTTAGTTTACTAGCTGTACCCGGCCACGCGTTGCTGTGGCTCAAGTCTGGTTAAATGGAAAAGAAAGAAAACAGAAAGCGCATGTTTGTCTTGCTTTTACGTCCAACAGATGGCACTGTTTTTCAAAAAAAGCATGTTTTTACCTGTCACGGGTGTGACATCTATATAATAGTAGGTATATAAAAACACGCGCATATTCGAATGCAACGTTGTGTCAAAATTTCAAAGCAATCGGTGAAGAACTTTTGGAGATTTAAGATTTTGAACAAACGAACATTTACATTTTTATTTATATAGATTTTGTTAAGTGACACACAGATAGGCATACACATTCACCTGAATATACTGACCAAGAAATTTTCTATTGGTTTCAGGTGACCCTGCCAAAAAAACCCAAAACCCCACAGACATTATTTTCCTTCCAATCATAACTAGAAAACTTTGTTAAACTGTGGCTTTCATTTCTTGGTGAAGCCAAACTATGGCTGGATAAAAGCACTAGATTTCTTTCTTATGTACTGAGAAAAAAAAGAAAGAAAGAAAGAAAGAATTGAATCTGATGATGTTTATGATGAATAAAATGTGATTTTGTAATCAATTTTCAAGTTCCGTCTGAGCCAATAATAAAGTTATCAAGTACTAAAGTATTTGAGAAACATGGTTTCTTACAGGCTTAACTTGTTTTTGTTATTTTATAGGTAATGGAAGTAAATGGGCAAAACTTTGAGAACATTACATTTTCAAAAGCAGCTGAAATCTTGAGAAACAATACTCATCTTTCGATCACTGTAAAAACAAATATTTTTGGTGAGTATCTTGCAGAGATGTTGACTAAGATCCTAAGTGCAGATATTTTTTTAAAAAAAAATCTTCCTTGAAAGAAGGGACTGGATTTTTAAATGATAAAAAAATGTGTGGAGCTTTCTAATCCAATATAACAGGTAAATATAACAGTTAAGACTGCAAGGAGTAAACTGCCTAATTCATAAGCTTGCTGTGATAAGGACCAAGGTTTTTTTTTTTTAAAGCTGGACTGGCATACAGTAATTTGAGCATGATTAACATTCAGAGTTAGTTCCAGATATTTTCAGTTGAGTTCAGAGATAACTTTTCCTTTATGTGCTCCATCAGAGATGTGCAATGTATACCCTTCAGTATTCCTTCATCATAGTCTACGCCAGTGTTCTCTAACCTTTCTGGCTCTGCGGACTGGCAGAGGCAGCGATGGGACAGTGGAAGAAGGGATGGTTTCGTGCACACCAATTTCACAAAGGCAGCTTTGTGTGTGCTTGCCCATCACTTTGGCCCAGTTCCAAACCGGCTGGGGCCTGGCAGAAGGCTGCAGACTGGGGGTTGGGGACCTCTGGTCTAGAGCACTCTTAGGATGGGCAGAGCTAAAGCATTGTGGGAAGGAGTTTAAGATATGAGATTTAAGACACCTATTTCACTCCTGCAGCCTCCCTCTACTAAATTATGAATTTTCTCGTGGTTGTGTATGCTAGGAAATTACCACTATTAAAATAACATCTTATTTTTTTCGATCCATCTAATCTAGTTTAATGTAACATCATTAGCTATAACTTCGCGGACAGGTGGATGCTTAAGTGTTTTAAAATAAATGGGTGGTCATTAGCTGGAAAAGTTGAATAAAGCTGTCATGCTGTACATCATCAAATTGGCACTAATGTACAGCAAAACGTCTGTAGAGAGAATCTGATAGGTTTTACTACTGTTCTCTTTGACTTCCTGTGAATTTTAAATACCTTTGACGTTAAATACATTTTTAAACAAGCATTGTGTTCTAATAAAAGAATATATTTTCAACATTTTTACAGTATTCAAAGAACTACTTAGTAGGATAGGACAGGAGAAGAATGGAGTTCCACATATTCCCAAAATAGCAGAAAAGAAAAATAATCGTTACTCCATCCCAGATATTCCTGGAGACGTGGAACAAATGTTTCCACGTGAGAAAGCAAACAAGAAAATGAAAGCAAACACTGTGTCTGGAGGAAGAAACAGAATCAAGAAAATTTTAGACAAGACACGATTCAGTATCTTGCCTCCAAAACTGTTCAGGTATGATAAAATATTAGACTTTCTTTCAAGGGAACTGAAAATGTTTTTGAGGTGTTAAAATGAGTACTACTGGTGATCCAACTTTGTACAATCTCTTATTCAGTCAACCCTTTTATTTAATTTTGGATTTTTAAAGGAAATCCCTACGTATCAAATTCTTCGCCTGTAGAGCTAATAAAGATTAAAATTTTCATACGAAAGAACACACCTTCACCATTACAAGTAGGATAGTATCAATACATATACAAGAATATAATGTCTATATTTAGAAACTGAATTAAAATTTATCTTTGTGTTAGGCTCTTATTAGCATTCAGGGGAAGGTTTATCTACTCAATGCTGTAGAAAAGGAATTTGCTCTTTCAGGTTACAGGAAGTCTTCAGTTAATGATGGTATATTCGGGATGAATTTTCTATTGCTAAGCACTGTGGTCGTAAAGCACAAGGTCACATGACCGTGCCACTTAGCATCAGCAGTCTGGCAGTCCCTGGTTAAGCAAGGAACATGAGGGTCATTAATGAGGACCTCAAATGATCCAGCTTCCTGCCAGCTTCTCCATTGACTTTGTTTTTGGGAAGCTTACAGAGAAGGTCACAAACTATGGTCACATGTCCATGGGGTACTGCAGCGGTTGAAAATCTGGACCAATTGCTGAGTGCGCAGATCACAGTCATATGGGGTGCAGCCTTGGCTAGAACTTCAAGGACTTAACAATTATCCTCGTTTAGTGCCATTGCAAATTTGAATGGTTGCTGAATGAGTAGTTGCTAAACAAGGACCACCTATATCATAGTCTTGTCTTTTATACCAATTCTAAGAAGGCCAAGTAGAATAAATGTTACTACTTAATCTAGAGTTCCATAAATCGTTTATTTCTTCATTTATGTCAACAATATGAGTGTTTCTATACAAGAAATATTTCCCTCTAATTTCCAGTCTTTTAGTACTTCTAAATACTATTTGGCTTCCTCCATCACTTATGTCTTTATTAAAATAATTTATTTTTCTGGATCTTCTGTATTGACAGCTTTCTAATAATCTCTTATAGTGATGGCAGTGTAAGCCAGTCACAAGATGACAGCATTGTGGGAACAAGACAGTGCAGACACAGTTTGGCAATTATGCCTATTCCTGGCACACTTTCATCCAGCAGTCCTGATCTCTTGCAACCTACAACTAGCATGCTGGATTTTTCAAACCCTTCAGGTGAAATAAGTCTCTTTTTATTGTGATATGTGTCTAAAGTTCATCTATTGAAAAAAAAAAACCTTAGTTGTTAATTGTTGTTTGTAAATCAGTATTATGAGTTCATTAACACCGTATTTTTGCCAAGATTATAACCTACCTAATACTAATGTACTCTGGGCAGTGCAGTCAAGTCAGTTGCAAAATAGAAGAATGAAAGCAAAAGTATAACATAAAGTAATATTGAAAGCCATTAATAAACTTCATCATAGATATCCTTATCCTTTAAAATATCCTCAAAACCAGCTACTCTAGTTTTCAGGGACAAATTCATAGTAGAGCAAAATTGCTTTAATTTGTTTATTAAGTATTATCAGGATTGGGTCCACTTAGGGATATTTGATAACATGAGGGGCATTATTAAGAATGCCTAATGTTGAAGCAGAGAGATGCTGCAACTAGCCCTCCTCTCTTGATCATAGAATTGAATGGGTTCAGTTCAGTTTTACAAGTCCTGGAGTTGCTTCATTAAGGGCTTCCCAGGTAATATCAATAGTTGGGAACTGGGTACAGAATCCAAAGAACCCAGAATTCACAAACTAATTTGGGGGTAGTATGATTGAATCAAGAATAACTACCACAGTTGATGTTATTATGTTGTTCAGATATCTATTGATGGCTATCAACTATGATCCAGTGCAGGGGTGTCAAACTCGCCACATCATGTGACATGTCATGACGTATTATGACTTTTTCCCCATTGCCGGAGCTGGGGTGGGCGCGGTTTCGGCATGATGTCCTTTGGGACAACCATGACCTGCATAATTGAGAATCTCCATAGATACTTGCTATAATCTTTTGATCCATCCTTGTATGTCTGGATAAACCATAGCTATTCAGTATCATCTTTTCTAGCATGTTTAGATAACGTCAGTACTCTGTAGTTAAGTAAGAAAAAGAATAAAATGCACGGATATTTATACAGAATTTATGCTTAAATGTATACATTTATAGGAAAGGTGAATCATACTTATATAATTACTAATGTCTTTAATTTACAGATTGTACTAAAAAGCCAGATCCCATAGGCCAGTTACAATACAATGTGTTTATTAATACTTTTTCCCCGAGAAAAATGTACTGTACTTAGGAATGTTCAAAGGTTATGCATTAAAAAAATAAAATGTTTAGAAGAAAATGGCAACTAAATTGAACATGTAATGTAATTTACATAATAAATTGGCTGTGGGACCTGACTTTTGGTACATTCTATAATATAATTTGTAGAATCTGGAGAATATGAAAAACTAAGAATTAGGTGTCTGCTAGTCCCCATAACAAATTAAATTATGTAAAATGTTTTATTAAAAGAAAGTGCATTATCGCAGAATGCCTAATCTGGAAAGGAAGAACCTGTGGCCTTTTAGATGCTGCTGATGTACTGCTGTGCCTTGTCATGCATTTCTGCTTCACCAATTTCAGAGGGCTACAGGTTCTCTCCTCATGCCATACAGCAATCTTAAAGTGTGGTCCTAGGACCCCAGGGGATTCCCCAAAAGTCTGCCAGGGTCTGTGAAATCAAAATTATTTGCCAGCTTATGTTGAAAATAAATAAAATTTCTAAAATCCTATCAAATAATTGTGAGAAATGTTAATGTTTAATGCAGTAAATATCCAAGATAATCCACGGGGGAGAGGAAGTTCTTTTGAGGTCCTCCATAATGTTCAAAAGTAGGAAGGGGTCCTGAGAGAATGTTTCTTATTTTAAGAAAAATGGATTACAGTATTGGGAGGGGGTGCTTTTCCTGAAACAGACAAACCATTCAATTTAATTTAGAATTATTTGCTTGATACCAGCCACATGAGTTAGATAATTTCTGCTCTAGAGCAGTGGTTCTCAACCTATGGGTCGCGACCCCATTTGGGGTCGATTGACCATTTCACGGGGGTCGCCAAGCAAGGCTGTCCGCCATTTTTTCCCCTTTTCCGGCGGGTGCCTTATCTCCCTTGAGCTGGGCCAGCTGGTGGTCGGCCTGCTCCGTCTCTGCCGCTTGCCAGCTACGCCTCGGCTGGCGCAGGGGGCGGAACCACGCATGCGTGGCGCTCCTGGGCAGGGAAAGTCCTCGACTTACGACCGGTTTAGTCCTCGACTTACGACCGGTTTAGTCCTCGACTTACGACCGGTTTAGTCCTCGACTTACGACCGGTTGGGGGTCGCGGTATTAAAAAGGTTGAGAACCACTGCTCTAGAGGCTACTCAGTAATTTGCAAGCTTGTGAATTATCTAAACTCATTCCCAAGTGTATGTCAGATTTTTTTTATCACATTATATCTTGTTTTCAAGATATAATGAGAGAGAGAGAGAGAGAGAGAGAGAGAGAGAGATATCCATAAAAAAAGGCTTTGACCTGCTTGTATTTCTGCATATTGTTTACATTTTTATCTTTAAATAAACTTTTCAGCACCATTTGTGTGCATAAGAACCAATCTGGTATAGTGGTTAAGGCAACAGGTTAGAAACCGAGAGACTGGGAGTTCTAGTCCAGCTTTGAGCATGAAGCCAGCTGTGTGACCTTGGGCCAGTCCCTCACTGTCAGCCCTGGGAGAGAGGCAATGGCAAACTATTTCTGAAACCTTTGCAAGAAAACAGCAGTCACTAGTCCAGACTGTCACCAGGAGTCAACATTGACTCAAAGGTAGACAGAAGCACTTTATGTTTGACTTGTACAAAACTTTTAGATTTTTATTATGTAAATGTTTTTATTCGTGGCATAATATCTAGATTCTGACTTTCCCCCTTTTTTCATTCTGCAGCAGTTGGCTTTTACTGTAAGTATCCCAACGTGATGGGTTGGGTATTTTTTAAAATATGTATATTTTAATAGCAGCTTTTATTTTATTTTGTTTTATTTTTTTATCAATCAATCAATCATTAAAATTGTTTGCCTCCCACCTCATCTCAAGGCTTCATTGAGACAGTAGATTTCAGTGTTGCTCCGTGTATATTTTGAAAGCTACCATGTCAGGAAAACAAACATTTAGACAAGCCTTCTAAATGTTTTTCTGTATGCAGAGAAATTGTTTTATATGAAAAGAGATTATGAATATGATTCTCTCTTCCAAATCTGCAACTGAAATACAGTGAGAAAGTTTTCATCGTTATGTTTTCTGTGCATATTTGAATCAGATTTTAAGATGGAACGATGCTTGGCTATTGTGTATCATTCTGTAAAGGTTATTTTAGAAATTCAGTCTTCTGCAGAGAGTTTGTATATTCATGTTTGTTCAGAGTAGAAACATTAGAAGAAAATAAATGTCAGTCCATTTAAATTGTATTCCCTTGCCCTCTCTCTATTGGCTTTTCCAAACCAGAAGGTATATCATGTAACAATGCTGTTTAACAAAGAATGAATTATCCATAAGGAAAAAGCAATCAATACACTATGCTTGAAGTTTAGTAATCTTTATTGATTTATGAGACACTTATTTCTTCTCATAATCCACATCAAGTTAACAATTACAATTCTTTCCTTGGTAACACTATAAAGCAAAATATCAGATAAACAGTAACCTGGTTGATGGCCATTAGGAGGATTAAAACATCCAAAATAGTTACAGGCTTTTAAAAGGCTTTTTATAAGGGGTTTAGATCTCAGAGAAATGACGTATAGTGCAAGGTCCGCTTGCTTTATCCAAGAACAAAATAAATACATGTTTATGGAAAATATTTTATTGCAAGTCATTTTTCTATAAAGGCTAAAAAAGAAATATGTATAATTAAACATAGAAATAATATATTATCCATGGAAATAAGTTAACACGTTAACTCTTCTGTTTCAACCTCAGACATTCCTGATCAGGTTATAAGAGTCTTCAAAGCTGATCAACAGAGTTGTTACATTATCATCAGCAAAGACACTACAGCAAAAGAAGTTGTAAGCCACGCAGTACATGAATTCAACTTGACAGGAACCCCTGAGACCTATTCTCTGTGTGAGGTTTCTGTGAGCACGGAAGGAGTCATCAAACAGAGAAGGCTTCCCGACCAGTTCTCAAAGTTAGCAGACCGAATTCAGCTCAATGGGAGGTAAATATTTCATTTTGCAATTGAGTTAGAGAAGAAAATACTAAAAAGAAGCAGCATTTCTTTCTGCATACAGATTTTATTGCCTTTGATTTGGTACATACAGTAGTTACCAGGTTGTGTTAAATAAATGCAAAGTAAAAATGAAGTGTTACATCCACAGATATTTTATAATTAAAATATAGATAGCTCATAATATAGAAGTATAAAATCATAACAACACCACCACCAACAACAAAATAGTAGCTGAGTAGCTGAGAAATACTGCATCAGAGATAAAAATATTGACTTAACCTAGCTGTAACCCTAAGATTATACATTAATGCTCTCTAAAAAGAAACATGGTTTCTGGGAAAATGAAAAGTCTGTTTTAGAAGTAACTCCCAGAGAGCAGTCATGGAAAAATAGTGCAGGCATAATTATGTTTTTGTGTAAGGTCAAGCATTCTTTATATGAGTAATTTATATAAAAGCCTTATGATTGGTCATGAAGAGTAATGGGCACAACTATCTAATCTCTTCATTTGTATTAATGAGCTTTTCTCCTATCCTTTCCTTCAGTTCTACAAATCTGCATCTAACCACAGTAATTTTGAAGGGATACTGAGCGCAGCAGGGTGAAAAGGGAATATTTTGTCTTTGATAGATGCAGTTTCTTAGATGTAATTTAGTTTCTTACATGGGACTAGAATTCTGCAAAGTTACTAACTCTGTATTAAATCATATATGCTTCTCACTGTATTTTTAGGTATTATTTGAAAAATAATATGGAAACAGAGACTCTGTGCTCAGATGAAGATGCTCAAGAATTGCTAAGAGAAAGCCAAATCTCACTTTTACAGCTGAGTACTATTGAAGTGGCTACTCAGCTCTCGATGAGAGACTTTGAATTGTTTCGAAACATTGAACCTACTGAGTATATTGATGAATTATATAAGCTGGATTCTAAAACAGGAAACACTAACCTGAAACAATTTGAGGATGTTATTAATCAAGAAACGTTTTGGGTTGCTACGGAAATTCTATCTGAAACAAATCAGTTGAAAAGGATGAAGATTGTAAAACATTTCATAAAAATCGCTCTCCATTGCAGGGAATGCAAGAATTTCAACTCTATGTTTGCTGTTATTAGGTTGGTTATTTTCTTTTAAAAAATAATAGAGTAGCAGGGAACTGAAGTGGATTTGAAGAGCATAGACTTTTATCCAACAAACTGAAAAGTTATTTGCAAACTTAAGATGACCATGATACCTGCAGTTTTTGTTTGAGTTTTACTTCTCAAACAGTAATAGTCCTAGGAGGTTGGCTGATCTTGAAAATTAATGCTTGCCCACAGTCCCTGTTGGCCTGATCATGCTCTATGATGCCGGTCTGCAGCCCCTGCAACCCTGCCCACAATCCTTAGCGTCCACCTGTGGCAGCTGTACATCCTATTTTCTCCCCAATGCTCCTTGGACGGGACTCCCTTCTTGTTTAATGAGCCATGCGCTCCAGGGATTGACAGCAACTGGGAATGCTGGGATGTGACATTGTACTTTACAACTGCATCACTTAGCAATAGAAATTCCAGACCCAATTGCCATGGCAACCCAAGGACTTTCTCTAGTGGGGTTGTGAACTAGACCTGGAAACTGGGCGGGGTGGGGGGTGGGAAGAACAACTTCCCCATTGTTGCCAAGAAAATGGACATGTCCATGTAATCCTGAAAAGTTGAGCTTGACTCAAAAGAATCTTTATATTTGAAAATATTAACAATCAGATCTACTTAGTTTTTCATTTTGGTAGAAATTATTTATAGATAAATACTGCCAATGTTTTAATAGGATTTAAGTATTCCAGAGATTACGAGCTACAGTTCTGTCACTATTTTTAATCATAAAGTAATATATTGTTAGGAGAGCCAGTTTGGTGTAGTGGTTAAGGCATCAGGCTAGAAATTGGGAGACTGTAAGTTCTAGCTCTGTCTTAGGCACAAAGTCAGCTAGGTGTCCTTGGCCAATCACTTTCAGCTCTATGAAGAAGGTGAGTGCAAACCACTCCTAAAAAGACTTTGCCAAGAAAACTGCAGGGACTTGTCCAGGGCCAGAGTCCAAACTGACTCAAAGGCGTAAAATAATAACAATACTTTGGCAAGAGTTTTTATCTCAGTTAAAGCTATCCAGAGTTTTTGCTTAATCCAATTTAACTATAGCTATTATTTATCAGCTCCAGTGTAATATTATCTGCAGTTTTAGATGGAAACCTATCTTCCACTACAGAGATGTAAGGAGAAAAGAGAATTGTTTTGTTTTATTATGGTGGTGCTCCATCACATTGCAAGATATAAGATTGCAAAATCATATCTAGGTAAGATGCTGATGGACAAGAAGTAATTTTCTCAAAGCTTAGAGGGATTTCTGTAAGTAGTTTTTTAAGAAATTCTTTCTTCCCTAACATTTGCAGGTAGGAGTTGCTGGCTCTCCAACAGAAAATAGAGTATCTATGCTTTTGTTAAAATGTCGCTCTTCTAAAGGTATACTTTTTTGATTTTGTCTTTAATATTTACAATACTAACTATTAAATAATTTCTTGCAGTGGTCTTAATCTGGCACCTGTGGCTAGACTCAGAAGTACATGGGAAAAGTTACCAAGCAAATATGAAAAACACCTTAGAGATCTTCAGGATCTTTTTGATCCATCTAGGAATATGGCAAAGTATCGCAATATCCTCAGCAGTCAGAGCATGCAGCCTCCAATTATTCCATTATTCCCAGTGGTCAAGAAAGATATTACATTTCTACATGAAGGCAAGTCTGGACATTAAAAATATAATGCATTCAGTTATTTTTATTTTAAAGTCCTATGGCCCACCAAAAATGAATTTCACCTTTCCACTATGAGTAGAGGCCTACCTTACCTATCCAATATATTATACTTAGTCACATAATCAGGCAATTATTTAGACTGGATTTGTCAGTTTTGTACATCTATTGACTCCTTCCCAGTGGGATAGGCAGATGTTTTCCTATTATTTATTAAACTTGTATTCCGCCCGACTTCCAAATGTTATGAGGAACTGAGGTATGTGTAAAGAAAAAAAAGACTCTTTTTGATTTGGATCTATGTTGAAGAATCGATTTTCAGACTGAAAAAGTTGAAACCTCTCGGAAAAATAAACATTCCTTTCCCAAATTAACAAGTAGTGGTGGAAATTAAGATAACTCCCTTGCTATCAGTTTCTTTTATTGTTGAAAATGCAAAGGCAGTTCAGATCTATTATTACATGTTCGTTTTGCTGACAACTGCTGATGTTAAAAAAAAATGGGTGTGCACATTTTGGGTGATTGGCACCTGTCCCTTGCCTTAAAGCTTTTTGCAACTTCTTGCTTGCATTCAAGACTATTAACATGTAATAATGTGCTGTGATACTAAAAGAAGTAAGTTGACAGCCTCAGAAGTATGTTCAAAAATCTTAAACATTTTCCCCACATATTTTAATTGTACAGGAAATGATTCAAAGGTGGATGGTTTGGTAAATTTTGAGAAACTGAGAATGATTGCTAAAGAGATACGGCAGGTGGTCAGAATGACTTCTGCTAATATGGATCCTGCTGTGATGTTCAGACAAAGGTATGGAATTAGAAATAGAAAAATGTGGGATGTAAATAATTGCATGTTTGTATTTCCATGTTTATCTTTTGTTTAGTTTCATTGTTAACACTTATGTAAATGTGAATGGAAAGCAAACATATATGTTCTGTTAATTTTCAATACTTGCATTGAGGTCTGAAATACTTGTATAGCTAATAAATCTTTTTTTATGTTGATATATTGCAGTGTATGAAATTTTAGATTAGTAGGAGTCTTATCTTGCACAAACTAGAACATAACTCAGCATGTCTAAATTAAATCATTTTTAAATTGATAAATTTGTAACTCAATATATTTTTAAATAGTACTGTTGGGTCTAAAATCATGTTAGATAGTGTTCATTACCTTTGAACCTTCTACATATGAAAATAGATGAAAAAGGGACTATTTCTAGAAAACTATACCCACATTTAATTGGAAGCTCCTCTGCCTGTTGTCCTGTTCCGCAAACATGGTCCTTGAAGCCCAAATCTTTTTTTGTGTGCGTGTGTTCTGTGTTCACCATGTATTCTAACAAGTTTTTGTCTCTGTATTCCATTGTGAAAAATTGTTTTACTGGTTTGAAAAGTGTTTTTACCTGATCAAAATTTTCATTTATTTTTCCTGTCTACATCCTTTTCCTTTCTGATTCTCAACTGTGATTTCCCCCCCTATGCTTTCTTTTTTTAAATACATGCTTCATTGTACATGGCTCTTGGTTACAGGAAGAAGAGGTGGAGGAGTTTGGGGTAAGTGCAGAGATTAATGCAACTAAGACTTTAAGCAAAATTATGCAACTTTTAACATTCTGCATCATCATTAATGCATGCATCTCAGCAACAGCATGCATTTTATTAACCCTGCAATACTTGTTCTAACTATTTCTAAATTTAAGATAACACAGGTTTATGATGACAAATTGGAACCCACACATTAATAAAATCAAAATTATATGCAATCATAGCGATTTTATTTATTTTAAAGTCCTTGAAATTTGCCCAATGATGGCTCGGATAAAATCTTTTTATTAACAGTTGATTTATTCTAAGTGTTGGTTGAAGACTTAAAAAAAACACGGACCACACATTTACAAATATCTGTTAATGGATAT